TCATCCACTCTACATTCTGCTATGAATTTGAGAGAAATTTTATGCTGTGACATTATTTTTGGGACAGGAATCAGAGAGCTCTTTTAAGTGTTGCGGTCTTTAAGATGATCACTTTCTGGTGTAGATTGTACTAGGACTCTGAGAAAAAAAGTTTTATTGTGTTAGGTCAGACCCAAGATGGACCTAACCAACTTTCTTCTGTCTTACCTTAGCTATCAAGAAAAGTCTAGGTAGGAGAACAAGAACAAGATGATTGTGCAATGCTGTTTCCTTAGAATGATCTGTTTTAGAAGTAGTATTTGTTTATAATAAACTTAAAGGTAATCTTTTTTCATGGATTTTTGCAGTCAGTTTCAGTCAGTACAAGTATCTGTTGTCCGCAGAATTCCAGAGATTAACTTCATATTATGTGAACCTGCTACATCTGAGTTACATTTTATGGGTCTTAAGCTCTTGTTTTGGAGGAGAATAGGAACAATCTAGTCCTTTCCTCTTATGATATTGTAAACTTCTGTCATACTCATACTCCATGATCTTTTTTTCAGAGTCATCTTTAGCTTTACTCTGTCATTTTGCAAAACTTACTCAGATCCTTTATCAACCTTGCCATCTTTATTGAAATGTTTTGAAGGTTACTGTTTTGTTTTTAAGACAAATGACCAGAATTGTGCAGATAACTCAGATACATAATTTAGAGAAAGGTGTAATGAGGTTTCCTGTATTCTCGTTGTTTTTAACAAATTCTAGAGAATCATTCTGTTTGATTTTTTGACCACTGTAGTGTACCAAGCAGTGTTTTCGTGGAACCATCTACTGTAATTCTAAGATCCCATTTCTGAGTGAAAACTGTCAGCTTGGAGCCAATCACTGCATAAATAAAGCTTTGGATTGTTTTTCCTCCTGTATGTTTCTCATTCCAATATGCATTGAAATTAATCTTCTAAATGACAGTCCAGTTGTTGAATATCATAAGATCCAGAATAATCTTTTTTGTGTTTTTCATGGTCAGTCCCTTCCTCCTATGTCAAATAGCATTGTACGGTCTGCATTCTGTGTCACTTGTTGAATGACCCTTTCATTTGGATTATCATGAACATACTAAGCAGTGCAGATTTTTGTGAAGCTCCACTACCTCATGGGACTGTCAAAACTGTTTAGTCTTACTGTCTTTGTCCTTTTTTAAAATTGCTTTTAGTGCAGGTAAGAACCCTTCCCTTAAGAACTGCTTAGTTCTCTCTCTGCCTTTGCTCAGATACCTTGTTAACAACCTTTTAGATCTATTGTGTGACAGTCTTGCTTTAAAATCGCTACAGCCAAAAAATCCCCACAAGTATTTGCATCAACTTACTGTGTATGACTAGAAATTCACAAGTAATGTAAATATATTACATACTTGATCCATTGATACTGCCTCTTTGGTATTGAGATCACAGCATTGGATCTTCAAAACACTAGATTATTATGTTTCTGCAGAGGAGAACTACCTTCAGTATCTGTGTAATATAATAAATCCAGTACATGTAGTGGATTTATTTCACAGACTTTTAATAGATTCAGAGATGTATATTGATTTGGAATCAATAATTTTTGGTTGAATCAGTTGTTTTATTGACTATGTGATGGAAAATTGCAGCTTTACATACATTACTATTTGAAGATTTAAAAAAATATATTTTAAGGAAACATGATGAGAAAACTGGCTCACTTTTACATTTTTAGGTAAGTTTATATGTATGAAAAAAGTTTTGACAGAAGGAGGTAGTTAAAAGTCAGTGTTGACTAGCTAACCTTTCTAAGTAATAAGAGAGGTATGGTGTCTCCTGATAAATGTTGATGACTGTCACTGGCTGATATTGAGATACTCTGAAAATTGTAACAGAATAAAAGTTTACATTTTGAAGATGCATGCATTAAGAACTGAGAGAAGGCAACCATAATGAAGTAAGTGTTGATCAGTGGGCATATGAATTAATATCCAAATTAATTTTAAAAGTCTTCTGAAATAAAAATTTTGTAAGCACAAGCATTTTTTAAATTTATATTTGAGGCAGAACAGTGCTAATGACTAAAGAAATATGAAAGGGAGCTTTCCAGGTAGCCAGAACCTAGTTTGAAGATGTCTGCTTTCTAGATGGTTTTTGGCCTCATTTTATATGTTCTCATGCCATTCAAAACTGACAATTTGGGTCTGTGTGGTTGTTAAAGATAATAAGGAATACATTGATTTACTGGTTAGTCATAAAAACCCTTTTGTAAAAGGATTTTATCCAAGAGGTAAATACGAGGCCATAAGAAACTTCCCTTAACAAACCACAACCAAGATAATACAAGGCAGATGCAGAGATGTCAGTTCTAGCTAGATGAAAAATACTGTTTAAAACAGAAAATAGAGGTTGAACACAAGGACACTAGTTTGTTTAGTGTGTGTATGGTAGGTTTTTTTGTTTTCTCTGTGATAAATACAAATATCCTAAAATATCTCAGAAGTTTTAGGGAGAACTGCTTTAACTTTCTATTTCAGTCTGATGCTGCAATATAAAATCTGATGATTTTAAAATGGTAAAATATTTTAATATGTTGTTTTTGCATGTATACACGCATACCTTCCAGTGATGTACAATCTTATTAATTTGGCTTTAATTTTTTTAATATTGGTGCTTGATCATTAAATATCGCATCTGCTCCCTGTGAATCAATTGTTAAGCCAATGTAGTGTTAATTAAAATTTTGATTAGAAAGCTGATCAAAAAGCAGTATCTGCAGTTACAAAATTGGTATTTTCTTTTTTAGCTAGGTATTAGAAGAAAAAATTTAGTTTATATTAAGTTGAAGACCCAGTGTAAGAGAATTGTCATTTCTGAGAAGTTCAGCATACAGATTGTGATAGCCTAAAAACAATATAAATGTTTATTAGAAAGGAAGCTGTGGAGATGTTACTTCAAAGATATGTTTTAAGTGTTTCCCTTATCTCAAAGTAAGAATGTGCAGATGGTTGCTCATTTGGGAAATAAACTTTTATCTTTTAAACTATATGGCTTTTCTACAGTAATTTAAGTCTTCCAAGATAAGATCTAGGACTATCTGAATAACAAATATGCGCAATCGACATTATATAAAATACATTGGGAGGAGAGAGAACTAATTCCACCTTTAAAACCAAGTAATTGAGTGTGTTATACATGAAACATGGCTCATACATATCTAGAGTCAATGTAAGTTGCTCTCAGCGGACCTTCTGTGCCATTTCCCAATCTGGAATGATTTTGGGAAATAGATCTGTGCAGTGGTAAGTACTGTATGTCCCTCTTTAGTAACTTTTTTGAAATAGAGCTTGAAAATACAAGGGAAGCAGAGTAAGACAGTTAAAAGATGTATAGAAGAATGCCATGAATGAAATGAGGTGTGTATACTTATTTATTTGTTTATTTAAAAAGTTCTCCTGGCTTGAAAATTTATTGAAGTTAGCATATATATTTTGATATGCGTTTTACAAGTCATCATTATATGAGCCATTTATCTGCATTGTTCAGAGTGCAAATGTTACTGTACATTTGTTCACTTTTTGGTTATTGGAATGTTTGCCAGCGTAATTGCAAAGTGTTGGTAATGGTCTGAAATTACCCTTTCTCTGTTAGTACTGAATGTTGTTGTACAAGTTTTATCTTTCCTTTGAATGAACCATTGCCAAAGATTGTATGGCTTTTAAAAAAAGTTGATTGTAAAGAAAAATATATAGTTCTTTTAAGATCACTCTTAAAACAGGAAGTGTCAATTTGTATTTTTGTTATTTCTAGAGATTAATACAGCCCAGCTACTGATTCTGTGAATTTCAGGAGTACTTCAGGAGTTGGAAGGCTTTCATCTCTTATAAAACATCTCTTAAATTAGGAATATATTAGGAAGGTATTAATTCACAGAGTATACCAACATTCTGGATATATTTTTCTTGATTGGAGAGCCTGCAGGTAGCACATCATTTTGTAACCTTGTATGTATACAGAGGCTAGACTGGGATCTGTAATAATGTGCGTTAATATAATATCCACAAAAAAGATTACCAAGATAGTTTAAAGAGTAATATGCATTTTAATCTTCAGGAAAAAAATACAGTCTTCCCAAATATATACAGTTTGTGTATTCACAGTGTGGGTTTCTGAAATCTGTGTCTTACAGGTTAAAAACAGTAATAGAAGAACTGATTCAGACACAGCAAACCCTTTTGAGCAAAGAGGAACTTGTGTTGGAACTAGAGAAAAAAATAGAAGAGTCCTCTAAGACTTGTGAAAAGAAGTCTGAGTAAGTGGAAATGGAATTTCAAAATACAATAATTAGAGAAAAAAGTGTGTATAATGCAATTCCTAAGACTTAAATAAGAAATAACCTCCACTAATCTTTTGCTTTTGTGAGAAAAGATAATTGTGTAAAACAGCAATAAGTGATTTTCTCAACTCTAAAATCAACCTTACTCACTGGGAGTCCTAGTTTATTAGAGTACTGAGCAGCTCCATTAGTTTAATATAATTGTCATGGTGTTGGAATGGCTCAAGAACTGGATCTTTGGTTTGTAAAATCTTGACAGAAGAAGAGGAGTCAGTTCATATTGCCTCTCTGATGGTGTTCATTGTGTGCATACGATTTTTTTGAAAGACTTTTTCAGAGTCATGTGCAAGACATACTCTTTCTTGTGCAAGAATATGCTTGGAACTTGTCAGGTTAAGTCCATTCTTTGTTGCATTTTCTTTACAAAACTGAATGTAGATCTGATAGCCTATCATACTGCATAATAAATGAAGGTGACAGCTTAATGAGTGTTTTACCATGCCATAAATAAAACATTATTACAAAGAGTATTTTTTGGGCAATATCTTTAGATTTTTTTTAACCTCTGGTTAAAAAAAAATACTACATACCAGTCTAAACTGAAGTTAATACAGCAGATAAAGAATTCTTCTGTCTGTAGTGATATTTTTCTGATTCTAGTTGCAGTAGGTCATAACCTTACTAACTTCATAAATATTATATTAGAGTGCCAGTGAACTGGAGTGCAAGTCCTCAAACAATCCTGTCTTCATTCACCGAAATCTTGAAGCTCTTTGTTGAAAGCATCTTCTCACTTAATACCTTGGATAGTATTTCACTCATATCCAAAACTTTGTGTATCTATCTGATGTCAATGTTTTGGTTAGATACTTTACTGTTCTTCCTTTGGTGAAGTTCATGTGTACTCATAGCATATTTTCCAATTTTTTGGTTCTTGACCTAACTTCCTTGCTGTGTGTTACTTAAAGGATAAACTGTGTTTGAACTAGATGAGTTTTGTGTTGTTAATTTTTCTTCCTTCAGTATCATCAGTTATCTCTCTCTGAAAATAGTTCAGACCATCTCTGTATTTCTTGCTCCTTTGATGCTGTAGCAGATGTCTGTGGTGTTGAGGAAATTATTTCAGTTCAGACAACACCAGTACCTGTAGATGTTATTAAAAGGTATTAAATCTAGTTGTAAGAGAAAAGTTTCCCTGAAATCACCTCAGTTCTGATTTGTCATTTGTCATGCTTTCCTCCAACATATGCCCTTTTCAACTTTTAACTGCAGTGCTGAGTGATCAGGATGTTTTTGCATGTACTTATGGTCCCTAGAAAGATCTCATCCAACTGTTGCATGTTTCTGGCTGCTGTCACAGCATATGGCACTGACCTCAGTGGTGCAAGGCAAGGTGAAAAGTAAAGGTAGTTGAGCAATAAATTAAAGCTTGCCTCTTGAGACAGAGGTCATTCTGGCAATGGTGCAATGCAAGCCTATCATCAGGAAAGTGAGGAGGTCTGCTCCAAATACAAGAGCTATCAACCCTATGTCATTGTTGAGCCTCCTCCAATGTGCTGAGCTTTGCCCATCAGTGCTGAGGAAATCTCCTTGTTTGCTTTATCTGGTCAAAATGATGGTGAAAGTCTGCAAAATCATGTTTTCTGTCTATTCACTTGTACAAGTTTGGACTTCAGCTGTCTCCCCATTTTCTGACACAGTTTTAGTACTGTAACTTCTGAGTTGTTTTCTGACTTTCCAGTCAATGGGGCATTTTGAGTTTGGTCTTCATTTCTTGCTGTCTAATTTTGGCAGCCCTGCAGATTGATCTTTGCACGTACTGCACTTTTCATTAAAGCACGTGCAGGTCTATAATTTTGTTTTACTCCTCAATATTTAGCTGTACTGGTACTATTGTCCTGGCACCAATATCCTTTCTGCCTTCAAATGATGGCATCACCTGCATCACAGAGAGTGTTTTAATTTTGTTTAATTTAAGTGTGCATCAAGCATACCATCTTCCCTCCTGACGTGATAGCATGTTAAATATTTGGTTTTTAATTCAGTTCACCTTTTTACCACTTTGCAACCTGTTGCCACGTTCTGATCTTGCAAGGATCCTTCAAACAAAATCTCACTTGGTAGCCACAGGACAATGAAGTTTGCACTCAGGCAAGGCATAAGCAGATAATTCTAATTCCTCATGCCTAGATTGAATGGGGAGCATTCTATGTTGGATTTTGGGATCAAACAATAATCCATCTTGCCACAGTTCAGGAAAGAGAATACCTTGTGACTTTTAACTTGCAGGGTATGTCTTTTTATGTTTGGAACATGATGAGTTGAGACCATTCAGTATTTGAGATTGTCATTCTAGACAATGTGTATTCACCAAAGCCCTGCTGGTCGTAGAAGGCCATGATTTTCACAGGGTGATCTCTTTTTTCTTTCATAATGAGGACCAGCTGAAAGAACATTATCTTGAGGATAATGCTAGGATAATTGTTCATGTCTTTGTGTGATGCTTTTAAATGCATACAGTCTCATGCAAAACCTCAGTTTCAAGTCCTCTAATTGTGTCTTCATACATCATGGTTATCCTTTCTACATGAATGATCATTCTTCTGGTTGTAAAGAGTTCTGTTCTTTGGTGATGGTACAATGCTCATCTGTAGGGATATGATTTTTCTCTTTTCCTGCCAATGAGGATTTTATGAGATAGTTTGAATAGAATCACAGAATCACAGAGTATTAGGAGTTGGAAGGGACCTTGAAAGATCATCCAGTCCAACTCCCCTGCCAGAGCAGGATCACCTAGACTAGGTCACACAGCAACACGTCCAGGTGGGTTTTGAATGTCTCCAGAGAAGACTCCACAACCTCTCTGGGCAGCCTGTTCCAGTGCTTTGTCACCCTTACAGGAAAAAATAGTCATTTGGCTCAGCATTAGTTTGTGAAGGAACAATCTCAATATCAATGACTTTTAAATTTCTTCTTTTTTTACCAAGGGTACGGCTTGCAAGGAGGGTATCTGTCTTCCAGGGATTGTCCTGAAGATACAGAGTGACAGGATACTGTGATTTTTCTTTACATTGTCCACATTCATCATTGTTCTGGTCCCTTTACCTCCTTCATCTATTCTTGCAGACTGTGAGAACTCTACATCTCTTTATAGACCACATGTCACTGGGCTCCAGTTGAGTGCTTTTGAGTGTCTGTATTGTGCTGTGGATGGTTCTATCTGTTAGGCAGCTTCTATCCATCTTCGATTTTGGCAGTTCTTGGAGTAATCTATAGATACCTGTAGATGTGCTAAGTGGTCTGTTTGTCCTTTGGTGATGCTTTGAATTATGTCTGTCTTGAAGTATTCAGGGAAATAAAGGTTAGTCAGAGAAGACTCATGAAAACATGTAGAAGACAAGAAAAAATTGCTTTAGCGCCTCATGGAGTTGAATTTATTTACCTTCATAAGAAGGTTAGACTGCAGTGCAGAAATACTTAAGCAGCAGAGGACCTTCCAGTCCACAAGAGACCACAGGTATCTCTAACTTGACACCAGATAAGTTTATATCAGATGTAAGATGCATTTAATAGTGCAAATTATTATTACAACAGCTATGTGGATTTTTCATTACTAGAATTCATAATGTAAAAATAGCCAGGCTCTTCTCAGTGACAAACAATGATAAGACAAGGGGTAATGGACACAAGCTGGAACATAGGAGGTTCCACTTAAATTTGAGAAGAAACTTCTTCTCAGTGAGGGTGACAGAGCACTGGACCAGGCTGCCCAGAGAGGTTGTGGAGTCTCCTTCTCTGGAGACATTCAAAAGCCACCTGGACACCTTCCTGTGTAACCTCATCTAGGTGTTCCTGCTCCGGCAGGGGGATTGGACTAGATGATCTTTTGAGGTCCCTTCCAATCCCTAACGTTCTGTGATTCTGTGAAAAATGTGTTTCTTTAAAATTTCCTTCATTACATGAATAAAGTGAAAAAAAGAACAGGTTTCAGTATTGAATTTCTTTCCTTTTTTTAGCTTTTATGAAACAAAGTATGTATTTTAAAGCATGTATTTTTAAGTTGTTTGTTATTTTTCTCTGCAGTATTGTACTCCTGCTGAGCCAAAAGCAAGCGCTGGAAGAACTTAAGCAGACAGTTCAGCAATTAAGATGCTCTGAAGCAAAATTTGCAGCTCAGAAAGAACTACTGGAACAAAAAGTTCAAGAGAATGATGGGAAAGAGCCACCACCTGTGGTGAATTATGAAGAAGATGCCAGATCAGTCACTTCTATGGTAAGTTTTACATCTGTTGTATTGAACTGTGCAGCCTTACTGTTACACTTTAGTCCTAGGATCAGAGTCTCAAGATATTCACAGGGATAACTGTGGACCTTTGTATGCTTGTGGTTTGGTCTTCTTCACATTTGATGCTTAGATTCTGGTTAGGTTGTTTTATAATTGCAAGCGTAAATCCTTAAATAGGTTTAGTAAACATTAACTCTTGTTAATTTCATTGGCTGTGTTGAAATACATTCACAGTTGTAGACTGAAAACTAACAGTAAAAGCTGCTGGAATCTCTACACAAGTGTAATTGAGAAGTGAATTTTATGTACTGTACTTACTCTTTTATTTAAACAGAAACAAACACTGATTTATGTACAATTAATTTTTAAATGTTTGCATGCCCTTAATAATCAAAAGGAACTTCTTGTGCTATTGATGAGACCACATGTTATTTAAATAAGTACTTTACTAATATTTTGTGTGACTTCCTTTTCTGAATTGTGTGGAGCTATGTCTGCAGATGGTAGGCCACATGAAAAATGAAACAAACAATACCTGTTTACTAAAGGGACAAGCAGGAGTGTTTGCTTTTACAGATTGGATTTGACATATATGAGATGCTTGTGACTTGTTTACTTTAGAGATTTAGCCTGCTATTTCTTTTGGCCCACAGAACAGTAGATCAGTGAAATGATAATGAAGTGGTTGTATTTGAGAGAAATGCTTTTGTTTTCTCTATTTGTGGAACCAAGTTTGTTCTTTGTCTTCCATTCCCATTCTACAGTTATACTGAATTGTCAGTGTTCTCTTGCTTCCACTACTACTATTTAATATTTACAAGGCGTTTGCAGGTGACTGCCATTTTCACTGGTACAAAACATTATTTTACAAAGCTTCTGTGCTTGCCATGATCTAGGAGTTGACAAAGCGCAGAAAGATGGAGAGAGAGAAAGGAAGGATTAGGATAATGATTGTAAGACATTAGGACACTTGGAATCTTTTTGGGGTAGGCTATCTTGTTAGTTATTTCATGTAATATCCTGTAGTAGTGCTGGTGAATATTGTCTGTAAAGGTTAGTTGAGATGACGAGTCTAATCAAGAAAATGGTATTCTTGCACATGAGTTCAATATTATTGAAGTCTGTCTTCTGTTGTCCAAATCTCTGTTTCAATGAGTGGGAGAAAATAATCCTTACAAATATATACAGTTCTTAAGTGAAGAATTCTGACCTCTTATTTTTTTTTTAGAAAGAAAGTTATCTTTAATTTTTTTTTAATTTTTTTTTAACTGGAGGACATACATACTCAGATTTCTAGAACAGTACAAGAAATACATTTTGTAATATAGTAAATGTGGCAAGAGTAAGAAAAACGTCATTATTTTGGCTTCAGAGGATTTAGTCTTATAATTTGTGTGCGCCATGAAAAATAACAGAGTATGACTTTAGTGTTGGGTGATTTCCCTTGAGTAAGTTATTTAAGACTGGCAAATACCAATTAAGTTTTGTTCAGCTATTAAGTATATACCCTGCGCTAGTAAAATTGACTAAGAAACAGTAGATACAACTGCTGTCTAAATGAAACCTTTTTTCAAAGTACTGTACCTTGAGAGGGAAGTCTTGACTGTATCTCAAAACAAAAAAGGTAATACACTGATGAACTATTGGTATAAAAAAAGCATTCTGGTGATTTTATAATGGGATTTGTTTTTTTAGTAAAACTCCTTAAAATTATGCAGGTGCTAAATGATAAGAAATTAAATGTTCTTGCTGCTGATGCTCATCCTGGTATCGTTTAGGAGGATTGTTGTTTGTTATAGAGATAATTTTAATGCTGAAGCTGTTACAGGTTTAAAATAATGTCTTTGAGCCCCTTAGAGTTAGCAGTTATGATATACTATATAATAGTACTATAGCACTATATAATCAGAAGAATCATAATTAACTTTTCCTTCTATACTTAAAGTAAGGACAGAGATACTAAGAAAAAGCTGGTTATGCATTGTAAACAGCTGTTTTTTGCCAAAATACTGTAGTACCCAAATTGTTATGTATTATGTCGCTTTTATGTCACTTTACAAAAATTAACTAGTAGCTGGAAGCTTGAACTGACTTTTCAATGTTTACATGTCTAGTCAATCGACACATGGTCTGTCATTTGTCTTAAGATATGTCTGCTATTCTTTCTGTTATTATCAGCAGCAGAGCATAGCAGTAGTCCACCATAATTAAAACAAAGGAAAAAAAAACAACAAAACTTTTATATGTCTAATGGTCTGATATAAGAAATAAAAACATCAGAAGTATTTGTAATACTGTAGTGGCAGCTAAACATTTACTCAGGTAATTAAGTACAATAACAGAGAATTGCATTTCATAGGAAGACTTTACATTTACAGCATCAGTACTGCCTTGGAAATTGTTACAGAATATGAAATCTTCAGGGCCTGGCAATAGATTTGGTTAATATAACATAGTAATTAATTTTCCATAGCAATAATACAGTGAAATCTGTATGCTACATTAATATATCTTATCCTTTTTCCTTACATAGTAAATCTAATATTATAACTATGTAAACCCATTATTGTTAAGAATAAGTATTTAGAACTACATGGTTTTCTCGCTATAGAAGTATTTCATACATAAACATGATTTTGTGTACTACAGCATTATACTGGAACCACTGATAAAATTGAGACTTGGTATGCAGGCTCTGCAGTACTTGAAAGACTTGTCAGCAGGTGGAGCTCACTGCCAGAAGACTAGTTATGACTGAATAATCAAAATTTTTCATCATTACATAAGTTTAAAACAGACATGCGAGGCACAGAAATGTAGAGGAAAAAATGTGCACTCTCGACTATCTATCATCTACATAATCTGAAGTGGTGGTTTTGTTCTGATTTTTTAATTTTTTTAACAAATAATAAAATACAACGGTAATGTAGAAAGACGCTAATGCATGGTCTTCAACAGCATGTGAGCCAACTTACAAGAGCTGTACAGCTATACTGCACATGGAGCAACAGCACAAAGTTCCTGTTCTTTCTCCATGTGCTCCTTAAAAGACTTCCAGTCCAGCTTGGTTGTCAGGATGGAAGACTCCGGAGTACAGGTGAGTCAGGAAGGAGTCAGTAATGTCTCTGGTAACATAACTCATGAAACTTATGAGTACACAGGGCAAAAGGAAGCCAAAACACTGTGATATCATGATACAACCAGTGAAATGGATCTAACTATTAATGCACCATTCCAGGAGAGTACCATGCTTAAAATCGTACACAATGACTTAACAGAAAATGTATATTAGTAAGAAATTTTACATTTCTGAATTACAGTTTTGTCTGTTTTAGCAGATAAAGCATCTGCTATCTAAAGCTACTTTTCCCAAAAGGGAAAAAAAATATGAAGTCATTCCTTTTTCAAAGGCATCAGTGAACCCATTCTTAGTGGTTCCTTTAAAAGTAAGATAAGCGAGCTTTGGATGAAGATTGTGGGAAATTTAAAAAAAAAGTTCTCACTGTTTGTGGAAGAAAAAGTATTAAATGCATAAAACAGTGCTAAATTGCTTCTTTTATTATTTGTAAATTATTCTAAATGTACTTTTAAATTATTTTCCTAATGTGAATGTATTGTATTTCTATCCCTGCTTTCTAGAATCCATGACTCAGTGCTCCTTCTAATAGGGTGATCAGCAAACCAGAAGTCTTAGAATCTTCCTCTGCAGGTTTGGCTTTGAGGCAGAGGTTTTCAGGTTTCTCACTAAAATAATAATTGATGAATTTAAGAATTTGTACATTTTGATTTTTTTCAATTGGATGCATAGATATGAAAGGGCATTTCCAGGAGCTGGTTAAGTGATTAAAGATGTTTCTTTAAACACGTTTTAGATAATGTGTCATAAAGCCCTGAAATATAACCTGCTGAGAGGTGTTCCCACACTCTAGGAGGTCTCCTTTTCCCATACTGTCTCAGGCTGTATAGGATCTTTATTTTCAAACACATGCAGGGAAACAGCTTCTGTGACAGCCCACTGCAACCATAGAAGGAAGCTTGACAGTAGAGATAAATGTATTTTTATATTTTTTACTGACTGAGAAGCATCGAGGCATTCTTATGCTTTGTAATGCGTCACACAACAGCTCTCTTGTTTATCTCGCCATTTAAGTAATTCACTACTAATTTGCAGCTCGTGAAATTTCTGTAAAATTAAGATTATAAGAGGTCATGTATTAGAAACTGGTAGAGGAGCCCTTCATAGTTATTTGAGTTACATATTTATAAACCTTCTAGACTTCCACTGTGCTGTTCCAAGATTCTAAGGTTTTTGTCAACAGACACAGGGCCAAAGTGAGTCTGTGCAGCACTGGTATTCTTATAATTTCTTTTATTGTTGTCTCAGCAAAGGAAAAACTGCCAGTGCAGTCATGTTTTAGAAACTGCCTATTAATTCATAAAGGACTTGAAAATAAACAATTGTATTTGTTGGAAGCCTGGACAGCTGAAATTCATCTGAGTGATCTTTGCTTTGGGCCACTTTCCAAGCTTGTTGGCTGGGTCTTGTGTTTCTGGCTTACAGCCAGAATTTAGCATGCTCCAAATGTCAAATCCTTCTAGGAAGTGTGGAGGATGAACTCAGTTCCTCCTGCTCTCAGAGTGAGTATGTTCCAGCATTTGTTTCTTCTCTTTGTAAATTGTACTTGTGTGACAGACATACATCAGAAGATGATGTCTCACCCAAATGGAGAGAGTGAATAGAGGATAGGGCAGGGCAGGGCAGTACAGCAGGCAGACTCTCTCCTTGTCAACCTTGCCCCCCAAGGTGCCTCTAAACAATAGGTATGAGGCTCTGGTTGAGGAAAGCCTGACAAATGAGGACACGGGTGATGGGCAGTCTACATCGGAGGGGCCTCCACAGTCAGAAAGGCCTACAGCCTACATCACAACCTTCTCCACAAAGAAGAAAACGAGGGTTAAAAAAAGGTAAGTGTCTCTGTACTGAGGGGAATGGAGGGTCCCATATGCTGAATAGACCCTCCCAACAGAGTGGTCTGCTGTCTCCCTGGAGGCTAGGTTAAGGACCTTGCTAGGAAACTTCCCAACCTGGTAAGGTCCACTGGTTACTACCCACTACTGATTTTCCAGGTGGCAGATGAGGAAACTGCAACTTGCAGTCCACAAACAATAAGGAAAGAATTCAGGGCCTTGGGACAGTTAGTGAGGGAATCTGGAGCACAGGTTATTTTTCATTCTCTCCTTCTGGTTGCAAGCAGGGACATAGGAAGGAACAGAAGGATACGATACATAAACACATGGCTCTGTGGCTGGTGTCACAGCCACAGTTTAGGGTTTTTTGATAGTTGGGATGATGTACATAACACCAGGTATGCTGGCATCTAATGGGAGGCACCTTTCTCAAAGGGAGAAGAGGGTTGTTCCCCAAGAGATTGCAGGGCTGATTGAAAGGGCTTCAAAATAGATATGAAGGGAGACAGGGATAACAATATCAAGATTGGCTGTGACAAGCGGCAGGATGATACACCAGGGTTGGAGGGGTGGGGTGATAGTAAGGTGTTGCCCGGAGGCACGCAGTGAGTGCTGCAGCACAGGCAAAGTCTTACAGAGACAAGCCAGAGATTCCTGAGGTGATAGGAACCAACAGGGTAGCTCCCACAAAACACCTTGGGGGAAGGAAGGAGTGTCCATCTAAGAAGGTGACATGACTGGCAACAAAGCTGAAATGCCTCTACACCAGTACATACAGCATGGGCAACAAACAAGAGGAGTTAGAAGCTATTGTGCTACAGGAAAGCTACGACATAGTGGCCATTACTGAAACCTGGTGGGATTAATCCCATGACTGGAGTGTGGCTATCAATGGCTACAGACTGTTCAGAAGGGACAGGAGAGGAAGGAGGGGGGGAGATGTTGAATAGAGTGTGAAGAGTTCTCCCTAAAGAATAGCCATGAGCAGGTTGAAAGTCTGTGGGTAGGGATTAGGGATCGAGACAACAAAGCGAGTCTTGTGGCTGGTGTCTGCTATAGGCTGCCTGATCAAGGGGAGCCTGTTGATGAAGCTTCTTTCTCCAGCTCCAGGAGGTATTGAGCTCACAGGCTCTCATCATGCTGGGGAATTTCAGCCACCCTGATGTTTATTGGAAAAGTAACATGGCAGGCTGTAGGCAATCCAAGAGACTTCTGGAGTACCTTGATGACAACTTTCTGAAAAGAAAACAGACTGCTCCACTCGAAGGGAAGCTATTTTGGACCTGATGGTCACCAATGCGAGTGAGCTCATCAGGGATGTCACTAGAGGCAGCCTGGGCTGCAGCGATCATGTGCTGGTGCAGTTCACTGTCCTAAGGCATATGAGTCATATGAGAAACATAGTCAGGACCCTGAATTTCAGGAAAGCCAACTTCCAGCTCTTCAAGGAGTTAGTCAATAAGACCCCTTGGGAAATGGCCCTCAAGGACAAAGGAGAAGAACAGAGCTGGCAGATCTTTAAGGAGGCTCTCCGTGGAGCACAAGAGCTCTTGATCCCCAAGTGTAGGAAATCAGGCAGGGAAGGCAGGAGACCAGCACGGATGAGTTGAGACCTGCTGGCCAAACTGAAAGGCAAGATGGAACTGCACAGACAATGGAAGCAGAAACAGATGTCCTGGGAAAAGTACATGGATGTTGCCCAGGTGTGTAGGAACAAGGTCAGGAAGGTCAAGGCACAGCTGGAGCTGAACTTGGCAAGGAATAACGAGAAAAATAAGAAGGGCTTCTATAGGTATGTCAACCAGAAAAGCAAGGTTAAAGAAAGTGTCCCCTCCCTGATGA